CGTGAACACTCTTGGGAAGCTTTCGGGCCAAGATGGCTCCAATATTGCCCCAGATGTCCTAAGACGGCATCCAAGATGGTGCAATGCAGTCCAAGTTGGCTCGAAATAGCCTCTAACAGCCCTTCAACATGTCCCCAGACGGTCCCAACTTAACACGGAGCTTCCCAAGGACGCCTCCCAGAATAATTCGTTTGCTTCTGGCCTTTTCGCTTTCGATAAGACTCTGAGGCCTCAAGACGGCTCTATGAGCGCGCCCAAGAGACCAAAGAGGTGCCCAGAAAGGCCCCAAGACGACTCCAAGAGCGCCCCGAGAGAGCTCCAAGATATGATCTGTCGGGTACTGCTAATCTGCTCCATGTTTTAATCAACGTCCTCCAAAGTGGCCGCCGCAAGGACACCAAGAGACCCCAACAGTGTTCCTAACGTGGCCCCAACAATCTCCCATAGTGAAAGATCCGCGACGGCCCTATGGTGGACTCCTGTCACCGTCGCCGCGGTCTCCCTCCCCCATCCTCCTCCTCCTCCTCGTTTTTCGCCTACTACTGCTCCCACCTAAGACTTAACCTAAGATTCACCCCAAGCTGAGTGGTCAGATTCCTCTTCCTTCTGATCGCCTTTTTTCCTCCTCCAACCTCATCATCATCATCCTTCTCCGCATCGTCGTCCTGCTGTTTCTCTTTCTCCCTCCTCCCTACTCCATTTCCTCATCCTTCCAATTTCTCCTTCGGGAGACTGCGAAAACATAGATTGCGCACTCCTGGGCTGCATGCACATCCACATTAATAGCCATAAAGCGAATCGGCCCGAGATCGTTTCTGGATGTGCTACGCCAAGCTTCAACGAGTCCGGACGCATTCGAAAGGCATGGGGTGTCGACTTCCTGAGGCGCCTGGGTGGCGTTCGTCAGGGGGAGCCGACGAGAGGGTGGCGGATGTGATGGGCGAGAGGGAGGAAGGGAGGCGGGAGGGGGATGACGCAAGGGAGGCGATGGGAAAGCTGACGGGCAAAGGGGGGATAATAAGACCGATCCCAGCTACTTTGGACTGTTCGCGAACCGCTTCAGACCGATTACAACAACTGGAAACGAACTGATCGCGATCTAAAAGATTTCTATACTAACTACTCTAAATGGGGAACGCTGGATTACAACCGCGAAAAGAGATTCTGAAGAGCGTCTGGAAGTCTTCACTCCTACGGGCTCTTGAGGACTCCTGAGGAATCCTGAGGACTCCACCCGCCTGAAGGATCCTGGAGGATTTCTGAAGGATTCTGAAATATTCTGAAGGATGATGAACGATTATGTAGACTCTAAAAGAGTCTCAAGCAAAACGAAGGTTCTGAAGGCTTTAGGATCCTGAAAGATTCTGAAGAACTCTTGAGATTCTCAACCAATCCTGAAAAAAACTGAAGACTCCGGAGGAATCCTCAGGGCCCAAGAAGAATCCGGAAACCTCCGAACGAATATTCGACAAGCCAGGCGATTCTGGGGGATTTTCAACGAATCTTCAAACAACCACGGGATTCCTACAGAATCTGGAACGTCCTGCGCAATCCTGAGATTCTGAACGGATCCTCAAGAATACTGGGGCTTCCCACGGTCGAAAGATCACGGTCGAGCTCAAGTACATGTGTTCTGCAGAGATCACGGTCGAGGTGGCGACAAGTACACCAGGGGGAGGTCTCCTTCTCGCCCGCCTGTCCCATCTGAGCGACGATGAAAAACGGGTCTTAAGGGAGATGGCGTAGCGACCTTACGCGGCGGCTTACGCGGGCCGCCAACGCGTCACACCACCTTGGAAACGAGGGCGCTTACGCGCGAACTTACGCGGGCAACTTATGCGCCAATGTTGGAGCACACGATAAAAACCACCTGCTGCGCGCTTGCCCGCGCCAAACCTGAAACGCTTGTACAACAACGGCTTCGGCGTGAATACAATGATGATAATAATGATAAGCCTCCGCCGCGCCCATCCATCCAACCAAAAAGAACTGCAAATGACATAATGCTTCATAGCCCCACCTGGGGCCGACAAGCCTTCGGAAAATATCTGCCCTACTATGCTCGGCGGTCCAGCGTTAGGATACCGAGACACCTTGCGCAGCAACGGTATGGCACATGCTTTGCAAGCTCGGCGATCCTCAATGATGGAGCCGAGACTACCAAACCTTGCATGCGAAAGCGGCAATTCCTTCCAATCGGAACCAGGCTGTTGAAACACTCGGCACATTGCGCCTGGGTGGCGTTCGTCAGGGGGAGCCGACGAGAGGGTGGCGGATGTGATGGGCGAGAGGGAGGAAGGGAGGTGGGGGGGAAGGGGGATAACGGAGGGGAGGCGATGGGGAAGCTGACGGGCAAAGGGGGGATAATAAGACCGATCCAAACTACTTTGGACTGTTCGCGAACCACTTCAGACCGATTACAACAACTGGAGACGAACTGATCGCAGTCTAAAATATTTCTATACTAACTACTCTAAGAAGGGAGCACTGGATTACAACCGCGAAGAGAGATTCTGAAGAGCGTCTGGAAGGCTTCACACCTACGGGCTCTTGAGGACCCCTGAGGAATCCTGAGGACTCCTGAGGAATCCACCCGCCTGAAAGATTCTGGAAGATTTTACCTAACAGCTTTTGCTGATAGGTTTCTAGTGGTCTCAAAAGAGAGCAGCAGATGACTCCACAGGGGGGTCGGGGCGGGACCCGGGGCGGTGCCGCCGAAGCCTCGCAAAATCGCTCTTGGCGCTGCTAGAACTCCATTCCCGGGCCACATTTTGGATGCCTGGAGCCAACTGTAGGCCACTTCGTGCTCTTCGACTTCCCAGAACTCCATTCCCGGGCCACATTTTGGATGCCCGGAGCCAACTGTAGGCCACTTCGTGCTCTTCGATTTCCCAGAACTCCATTCCCGGGCCACATTTTGGATGCCCGGAGCCAACTGTAGGCCACTTCGTGCTCTTCAAGTTCCCAGAACTCCATTCCTGGGCATGATTTTGAATGCCCGGAGCCAACTGTAGGCCACTTCGTGTTCTTCTAGTTCCCAGAACTCCATTCCTGGGCCACATTTTGAATGCTGAGGCAGGCTGATGCTGCGGCCGAGGCAGGCTGAGGCTGAGGCAGGCTGAGGCTGAGGCCGAGGCTGAAGGCAGACTGAGGCTGAGGCTGAAGCAGACTGAGGCTGAGGCTGAGGCAGGCTGAGGCTGAGGCTGAAGCAGGCTGATGCTGAGGCAGGCTGAGGCTGAGGCTGAGGCTGATGCAGGCTGAGGCTGAGGCAGGCTGAGGCTGAGGCCGAGGCTGAAGGCAGACTGAGGCTGAGGCTGAAGCAGGCTGAGGCTGAGGCTGAGGCAGGCTGAGGCTGAGGCAGGCTGAGGCTGAGGCTGAGGCAGGCTGAGGCTGAGGCTGTGACTGCGACTGCCGTTGCCGCTGCGACTGTCATCGCGAATGCGACTACGACTGCGAGAACAGCAGAATTCTACAACTGGATTTTCATCTGAATCTTAAGGGGAATGCTTTCAGATATGCTTCTACACATCGCTGTTAGGTTGCTTTGCCGGGATACTCTGAAGGATTCTGAAATATTCTGACGAATTATGAACAATTATGTCGGATTATGTAGGCTTCTGGAAGATTATGTAGACTCTAAGGAGTCTCAAACAAACGAAGGTTCTGAAGGCTTCTGGACCTGAAAGATTATGAAGAACTCTTGAGATTCTCAACCAATCAAGAGAATCCTCAGGGGTCAAGGAGAATCCGGAAACCTCCGAACGAACATTCAACAAGCCAGACGAATCTGGAGGATTTCCAACGAATCTTCAAACAACCAAGGGATTCCTACAGAATCTGGAACGTCCTGCGTAATCCTGAAATTCCGAACGGATTCTCAAGAATACTGGGGCTTCCCACGGTCGAGAGATCACGGTCGAGCTCAAGTACATGTGTTGTGCAGAGATCACGGTCGAGGTGGCGACAAGTACACCAGGGGACGTCTCCTTCTCGCCCGCCTGTCCCATCTGAGCGACGATGAAAAACGGGTCTTCAGGGAGATGGCGTAGCGACCTTACGCGGCGGCTTACGCGGGCCGCCAGCGTGTCACACCACCTTGGAAACGAGGGCGCTTACGCGCGACCTTACGCGGGCAGCTTATGCACCAATGTTGGAGCACACGACTCCGTGTTTTTGAGTCGCTCATCTGCCTCTTCTGCTGGCGCACAGGGTCGGCGCCGCTAGCCTCGAGGCCCTCTCAACTGGCCGACCTCTCTCGTCTTCCAGTGCGCTCGACTTACGCTCCTCCACGGAAATCTCTTCCCAAAGGGGAGCCCGCGCCGCTTCCCGGCAACGGCGCAAGAGGACCGCGTGAGTTTGAGTTTCGTCGGCGCCATTGCAATACCTGCACCTGGGAACGGCACTGGGGTACTCCAGAGCGGGACGGGGAGAGGGACAGGGAGAGGGACAGAGGAAGGGACAGAGAACAAGCGAGAGAGAGAGAGAGAGAGCAGAGAGAGAAAAGAGAGCGAGAGAGAGAGTCAGAGGGAGATTGAGGATGGAGAGAGAGAGAGAGAGAGAGAGAGAGAGAAAGAGAACAAGAGAGAACAATAGAAAGCACAACAACAAAACAACAAGAAACAAGGAAGAGAAAGAGACAGAGAAAGAGAACGAGAAAGAGAGAGAGAGAGAGAGATGACGAGAGCAGGGCAGCGAGGGCTCCGGGGACTCCGAGCGGGAAGCAGGCCCTCAGAGATACAGGCCCCCAGCTCGACCGTGGCGGGGCGCGTCCACGGGGCGGACGCCCGCGGCCCACGCCGCGTGCAGCGCCGCCGCGCCCTCGTCCCCCACGAGGTTGCTCATGAGGCTGAGCGTCTGCAGGCTCGGCAGGGCGCCCGGGGCCCGGAGGGCCGCCGCCAGGGCGGCCGCGCCCTCGGCCCCCACGCGGTTGAAGCTGAGGTTCAGCATCTGCAGGCTCGGCAGGGCGCCCGGGGCCCGGAGGGCCGCCGCCAGGGCGGCCGCGCCCTCGTCCCCCACGCGGTTGCTCATGAGGTTGAGCGTCTGCAGGCTCGGCAGGGCGCCCGGGGCCCGGAGGGCCGCCGCCAGGGCGGCCGCGCCCTCGTCCCCCACGCGGTTGAACCTGAGGTTGAGCGTCTGCAGGCTCGGCAGGGCGCCCGGGGCCCGGAGGGCCGCCGCCAGGGCGGCCGCGCCCTCGTCCCCCACGCGGTTGCGGCCGAGGTGGAGCTCCTGCAGGCTCGGCAGGGCGCCCGGGGCCCGGAGGGCCGCCGCCAGGGCGGCCGCGCCCTCGTCCCCCACGTTGTTCTCACTGAGGTTGAGCATCTGCAGGCGCGGCAGGGCGACCGCAGCAAGCACCGCGACCACCTGCCTGACCTCCTCGTCCCCCCATCCCAGGTCCTTGTAGAGCAGCGACTCTGCGGACTCGAAGCGCTGCGCGAACGCCGACCGGTACAGCTCGGCAACCCGTGGGCGATCGTCCTTGCCGTTCGTGAAGTCCTTGCTGCGGAGCTCCGCTTCGAAGGCGTCGGGCAAGGCCGGCGCCTTCCGCCCTGCGGACCCCGTGTGCATCAGCGAAAGGTGACCAAAGCCATAATAGGATTTCTCGTCTCCAGTGGCTAGTCCGAGGTCCACCAACAAAGACGAAGGCTTCGTCAACATTGCCCATGAGGACTCGCAAAAACACCAGCCGCGGTCGAAATAAGGTGCAATGTTGCCAGATCGGGTGTATTTTGCAAAATTGTCGTAATCGTCGGGGAATCGTGTCAACATGAATACGACTGTGGCGGGGTGGGAGTAGAAACTCCCAAGGCTGCCCAAGGCATCTGTGAAGAGCTCACGCTCGCGCTCGAATTTGCCGATTGCGTTGGCCTCAAAGCACTCGGAACCTTCGAGCCGCTGATACGTGCACCGCTGAGGGGAGCCCTCGCAATCCCTGCAGTTCTGGTGAATGCAACAGAAATCCATGAACACTGCCCAGCGGCCATTGAAACAAATTCCTTCACAACGATCTGCGAACAGCAGCTGCAAAGCCCGGCTCAGGATGCGCAGGTTGTGGCCGTGAGGGTCGGGGTGATTAGCTTGCAACCAACAGTGTGAGATACAAGCGACGTGCAGCAGTGGCACAATGCCTTTTTTGTCAGGTGTGGCAGCTTTGACCCCGCTGTGGGGCATGAACGCAGTCGGCGGCAAGGCCTGGCGCGGCTCGAGGGTTCCGCCGGAGCCCGCCCGCTCCACCATCCACTCCGCGTCCACCAGGACAACCGCCCCGCTGCCGAGCACGGGGTCGAGCTCAAGGCCGCCGCACTCCTCCCACCGCTCCTGCTTCCGCTCCGTCACTTCCACCTCCTCCAACTCGGGCAGGTGCGGCTGCTGCGTCTCCCCTGCGACCTCGCCGGCCTCCTGCCCCACGGCGCTGCCGTCGCAGCAACTCCAGCACGAGCACTTCGCAGCCAGCGCGCCGCCCCCGGGCGCCGACATCTTGGAAGCCGCGCGGAGGCCCAGGTGGTCCACAAGACCGCAGCTGCAGAGGTGTGCGATAAGCAGCGGGCCGCAAGAGGGTCGGAACTGGGGAAACCAGAAAGTACCAATACCGCTGCTCCCTGGACCTCTGCCGGGGTGCGTTCTGACCAGGATTTCGAGGCGAATCCTCCAGCCGTGGCGACGAGGGCCTACCAGGAGGCCGAGATAGGGGAAAACGAGGGAAGCGCAGCGGTAATGGGCACCTGTTCCTCCTCCGAGGAACTCCCTGGCTCTTGGGCCAGGCTGCGGACCCCCTCTCTCTCCTCGCCCTCTTCCACTCCACGATTCGCCTCCACCCGCTCTCCCTCGCCCCCCGCCCCCACCCGTCCGCTTCGTGCACCCCCTCTCTGGCTCGCCCTCACTCTCGGCCCTCTGCTCCCCTCCCGAGGCACTCACTTCCCCACTCCCTGCTGCATCAGACTGCTGGGAGCCATGTGCCTCGAAACGATGTCCGCGTCCTGGCTTCTGCAGAACAACTCGTCCGTGTGCCCCCGATATTAATAGCGATAACGATGACAACGATAATTACGGGGACAACGATAATAACGTTAGGTCGGGCCTGTCCCCCTACAGGGGGCTGTTCGACGAAAAAAATAAATAAAAAACACCCCCAAAATGCTCAAAACAGAATCCAAAAATAGTCTGGGGACTATTTGTTTTAGCATTGTTTGACCTTTTTGGGGCATTCGTTTGGTATTTCCTATTTTTCGCCGGAAATCCCCCTGTAGGGGACAGGCCCGACTTAAAAACAACGATTACGATCACAACGATAACGATCGGGCCCGTTTAAGCCTATTCAGGTGGCTCCACGGGGGCCTCGCGGTGAGGAGAGCGAGATCCCAGATTCCCATCGGGAAGCTTAAAGGAACTCACTGCATCCAGAAGCGCTCTGTTGCTGTTCCCGTGATTCGAGGCCTCATGAAAGCGTCCTCGAAGCCTCGCAACCACTTCGGTCGGACCGATCGCAACTGGCTGCGATCGGTCCGAAGTGGTCGACGATCGGTCCGAAACGGTTACGATCCTTCGTCGTCGTGGTCGCGGGCGGGGGGTGAGGGGCGACTCAGACCCCCGACGTCGTGATTTTTGTCGCGACGTCGACCCCCAGGGGTCTGGACCCCTTCACTGGGGCTGGCTTCTGTCCTGTCCGTAAACTAACCGAAATACAAACAAAATGTGCTGAGACGGAAACTCATACCACCACAAAACATCGGACGAATCACACCTGTTCACACGCCGTGTCCATCCTGCACCGTTCTTTGACGGCCCCAGGCCCGGCAGAGGCCCCCATGGGGGCCCAACGCAGCGAAGGAGCACTTCCGTCGCGCATTGTCTCGCCACGCGAGGGGGGGGGTTCTGGGGAGGACGGGGGGGCGCGGGACGCGGGAGGCCGCGGGGGCAGGCGGGCGGAGGGGCGAGAGCGGAGGCCACCGCGGCCCCGCGGCGGGAGAGCCCACAGTCGAGCTCGACAGGTCGGATCGGCGATCGGGCGGAATCGGAACGGCGGAAGTCGGCAGCCGAGTCGGGAGAGAAGTCGAATCGGCAGACATCGGCAGACCAGTGGGCCTCCGTTGTTGAGGAGTCGGCATCCAGAGCGGGGCCCGAAGCCGACTCGAAGGGAACCGGAACCCCTCGAGGCCGAAGCCGAAGCGAACCGGAGAAGCCGAAGCGAGCCCTTAGTGGGCCCTGGAAACGACAGGGCCGTTTTTTTACTGGTTCCGTTTTGTCGTTTTTGCCGGTTACGCCGCAATTTGTTACAGGTTCTGTCGCCGTTTTTTGACCGGTTCGGGCTCCAGCTCCAATCCTGGAGCCGTTTCTTTGCCGTTTCCAGTCGCCGTTGGTTTGCCGTTTCCATTTTCAAGGGACATTTTTGTGGAAGGGTATGTCCCCCTACAGGGGGCACACCCAAGGGAAACGAAAGATGTCATAAGCATGGGAAAATCCGAGGGGAGCATCCTAGGGGAATCTCCTAGGGTATCCTAGGGTATCCTAGAGGAATATCCCCTGAGATCCGACGTTGCAAAAAAAATGCGACATCGGAAAACATCACGACTGGAGCCTCAGACCGTACTTTTCTGCATCATTGTTCGGGCCGGATCGATTTGTGAGGGTCCCGGGGCCCGAGATTGAACGAAAACGCCAGGCGCGAAAAAACTGCAACGCCAGGATCCTGGGGTGAAATCAGAAGCCCGCCTCCAGGGGGAAATATCCTAGGGGAACGAAAGGTGTCATAACCATGGGAATATCCTAGGGGAACATCCTAAAGGAATATCCTAGGGTATCCTAGGGTATCCTAGGGGAATGTCCTAGGGTATCCCAGGGTACCCCAGGGTATCCTAGGGTATCCTGGCGGAATATCCAAGGGTATCCTAGGGTATCCTAGGGTAACCTAGGGTATCCTAGGGTATCCTAGGCATCCTACGGGAATATCCTAGGGTATCCCAGGGTAACCCACAGGGTAACAAAAATCAGAAGCCCGCCCCGACGCGGAGCTCGAGGGCGGCCCGCGAGGGAGGCCGGCCGGGCCCTCCCGCGGACCGGACACGGCTCCACAGGATGGAAGGAGGAGGAGGAGGAGGAGGAGGAGGAGGACGAGGAGAGGGAGGAGGAGGAGGAGGAGGAGGAGGAGGAGGAGGAGGAGGAGGAGGAGGAGAAGGAAGGAGGAGGAGGAGAGAAGAAGGAGGAGGAAGAGGAAGGAGCAGGGAGAGAGGAGGAGAGGAGGGAGGGAGGGGGAGGAGAGGAGGAGAGGAGGAGGGAAGAGGGAGGGAGGAGGAGGAGGAGGAGGAGGAGGAGGAGGAGGAGAAAAGGGAGGAGGAGGAGGAGGAGGAGGAGGAAGGAGGAAGGAGGAGGAGGCCGGCTCGCGCGGGAAGCCGGCCGGACCTGCCCGCCGAGCTCGTCGGAGCCTCCTGCGCGCAGGCGCCAGTGCCGGTGCCGGCGCCTGTCCCCCTACAGGGGGATTTTTCGACGAAAACTAAAAAGTACCCCAAACAATACCCCAAAATGATAGAAAAATGCTAAAAAAATAAGGGGACAGGCCCGACTTAAGGAGAGAGGGGACTGGGGGGGGGGGGGGGGGAGGGGCAGCGAGGCCCGCGCAGGGAGAGGGAGCCATGCGGGATCCTGCTCCTCCTCCTCCTCCTCCTCCTTTTCCTTTTCCTCCTCCTCCTCCATTTCCTCCTCCTCCTCCTCCTTCTTTTCCTCCTCCTTCTTTTCTCCCCCTCCTCCTCCTCCTCCTCCGCCTCCGCCTCCTCCTCCTCCGCCTCCTCCTGCTCGGCGAGATAGAGAAAAGAGAGACAGAGAGAGAGAGAGAGAACAAAGAGAGAGGAGAGAGAGAGAGAGAGAACAAAAAACAAAAAGAGGGGGAGAGAGAAAGAGACAGAGGGTAAGTGAGAGTGAAGAGTGAACGAGAGAATGAAAGAGCGCCCGGGGCGGCAGCGGTGTGCGGCTGCCCGACTCTGGCTCGGCCCCGCACAGCACGGGGTCCCCGAAACGCCCTCCCCCCTCGCGCTGAGGCGCCTGATTTGCAAGAGCGGAGTGGCGACGGGGGCACAGCGCCCCACGCGTCAGTCTTGGGCGCCCAACCATGTATGTGAACACGGCCCCCCCAGTCTGCGAGACCAGCCTCGTGATGAGAGCGTTCGCGCAACGCGTGCTCTCGAAACCAACGCGGATTCACATGCGCGCATGTCCTTCTCTCACTCCTAGATTGAAGTCGGGCGTGTCCCCCTACAGGGGGATTTTCGGCGAAAAATTAAACATACTCAAAACATACCCCAAGAAGGTCAAACAATACTAAAAACAAATAGTCCCCAGACTATTTGGGGATTATTGTTTGACTATTTTGGGGGTATTTTTATTTTTCGTCGAAAATCCCTCTGTAGGGGGACAGGCACAACTTAATCCTTGATACGATCTGCGCACCACTAAGAAACAACAGGCTGTATCTTGGCTGGGAAGCGTTGGCGGCCGGCGCATGCAGACTGCTGCGCCGCACGGAGGGCACCCCCTACGAGGGCAGACGCGTAACCGAAGAGGAGGGGGAGGAGGAGGAGCTGGCGCAGGAGGAGCAGGAGGAGCAGGAGGAGCAGGAGGAGCAGGAGGAGCAGGCGGAGCAGGAGAAGCAGGAGCAGCAGAAGGAGGAGGGGGACGAGGAAGAGGCAGACCAGGAGGAGGGACGATGGCGGCGGAGGGATTCGGCGGCGGCGGGCGCAGGGAGGAGCAGCGCGCCCCACGGCAGCGCAGCTCCCGGAGCAGTCAGGACAGCGAACCGGGCGTCGCACGGGGCGCCGCACGGCCCCCCCGCAGGAGGGGGGGGCGGGTGCGCCGGCGCCTCGCCCCGAGACGCTGCCAGGACCCACGCGCCCAGAGGCCTCCCGCCCCCCCCCCGCCCCGCCGAGCCGCAGGAGGGCGCCGCCAGCGCCGACGGCCAGAAAAGGGAGGCGCACGGGGAGGCGCGCGGGAAACCGCGCCGGCCCCCGCAGCACGCCAGGGCCGCCAGGGGGCCGCGTTGCCCCCCCCTCCGGGGGGAGCCGAGTGCCCGGGAGGCCTCGGAGGCGGGGAGGCCGCGCGCACCCCTTCGCAGCGGGGGGAGGGCGCGGGCCCCGGTGCGCGCCAGGGGGCCGTCGCCGGGTCGTCGGGGGGCAGCGCGCGGAGGCGCGAGCGCGCGGCGGGCAGCTGAGCAGCTGAGCGGTGCGGGGGGGGGGAAGGGCAGCCTGCGGCGGGCAGGGGCGGCGGGCGGGAGCGCCGCTGGGCCGAACCCGCGTCTGGCGACGAGGCGGGGGGCCCTAGGGCGCGAGAGAGATAGCGAGAGGGAGGGAGAGAGAGAGAATGAGAATGGCGATGGTGACGCATGGAACAAGAATGGGGATGATGATGACGATGATGGTGATGCTGCTAATGACGGTGATGGTGAGAGTGATGATGCTGATGATGGTGATAAAGATGGTGATGAGTATGGTGATGGTGATGATGCTGGTGGTGATAATGATTGTGGTGGTGATGATGGTGTTGATGCTGATGATGATGACGATGATGATGATGTTGATGATGAGGATGGTGACGGTGATAGTGCTGGTTTTGTGATGATGATGCTGATGACGATGATGGTGATGTTAATGTTGATGATGCTGCTGCTGATGTGACTGATGATGAACACTCGGCGGGATGCAGGTGACAGAGGCGGTAGCGGCGACGATGGCCAAGCCGGCGGCCTGCAAGGATATCGCCCCTGCGCGAGATGCCTGGTGAG